GGGGGGGGGAGGCGACGCGGCCGAGCAGCGTGCCGGCTGTTGCCCCCGAAGGCCACGCATCAAATTCGAGCGAGCCGGCGTGGCAAGCCGGCGCTCGGCGCCCCCTCTCTTGATATACCCACAGGCAGGATTGCAGTGCATGCGTGTTCTGCCAGTACAAAACTGAAAGTTATCAACCCCAACAAAAACAGACGTGCTTTTGCGGCTCCCACCTGCAGGGCCTTCTTGTCTGACATCATCGCCTCAATGGTGTACGTGATGTTGGCCCCCGCGAACGACTCGATGCGCGACTTGCGGCCCGGGATCACGGGCATCGCCGCCTGGGGGTGGGTTGCCGGGGCCGTTGCGACCAACAGCGCTGCGAGTCGATGGCCGCCCGCCGCAGAGCAAGGGAGCCTGCAAAAACGGCGCAGACGCCGGGGGCGGTGCCGAGAGTAGCTCCCGCCCGGGTCTGCTCGGCTGCTGGCTATGCCGCTGTGGTGGCGCCGCACGTGGCATGCGTGAGGCGCCAGGTGCATATCCCGGGCCGCCGGCCGCACCTGCGTGACCGCGAACTCCTCGTACACGCGGATCATGCGCATCGCCTCCTCCTCCGCCTCCTCGGCAGTGGCGTGCGCGGTGTGGCCCTCCTACGGCCGCGTGGCATGGAGGGTGACCGGGTGAGCGGGTGAGTGGTGGGAGAGGGTGGGGCAAGGTTTTCAGGCCAGGGCCACGGCCCAGAAGTTGGGGGGGGGGGGTTCAAGAGAGGCAGCAGGGCGCGCTTGCTGTGCGGGCGGCGGACGAGTGTCGCCGCGCCACCAGATGCCCTCGGAGTTGTGTGCGAATCGTGAGCCATCTGTGGGACGCACACACCAGCGAGCGCAGGTGCACACTCACAGACGCACGTCAACGCCACACAGCAAAAAAATGCATGGCCCCCAAAACACACACACACACACACACTCATACACACATGCAAGCGCGCGCGCGCACCTGCCAGAGGAACTCCAGAGTGCGCACGAAGGGGCGCGTGCGCATCTCCCAGCGGTGCACGTTGCACCACTGGTTGAGCAGCAGCGGCAGGTCGCGGTACGACTGCACCCACTGCGGCGCGCAAAGAAGATATGCGCCGCGGGCGGGCAGGGGGGGGAGGACTCAGCAGGAGCAGGGCTCGGGGTTGCGGACGCCCGCGGGTCTGCCTTGAGGACTGCTGCTGCGCAGGAGAGCCGCGACCAGCTGCGGATGCGCCGACATCATGCTCGCCTGCACAAGCCGCCCGCATTATTTCAAGCCAGCGCAGCCCTGATTTTTCCCTCCTGTCGGCCGCGATTCATCCATACAAGCCAGCCCACCTGTGCGAACATGTGGTTGATGATGGTCTCGCTGGTGGGCCGCACCACCAGGGGCTCCTCCAGGTCCTTGCCGCCCCCCTTGGTCACCAGCGCCAGCTCCGGCGCAAACCCCTCCACGTGCTGAGCCTCCTGCAGGCCCGCAAGGTCGCCACGAGGCGCGGCGCCGCACGTGCGTGGGGTGAGGCGTTGGAAGGCGGCGGGGCGGTCTGGTCTGTCCTGCTGCTTAGAGGCGGCGCGAGCTCACCTTGACTGTCCGCGAGGGCCACCCGCGGTCATTCACCAGCCTTGTCGGCTCGTCTTGGGTCCGCACAGCTGCATGATTGGATCCAATGCTTGCTAATGACAGGTGGGGCCGGGGATGGGAGGGAAGGGGCAGGAGGCCCACCAAGCCCTGCGACCCCGCGGCAGCGAGCCCCTCAAACCTTGGCGATGAAGCTGTACGGGATGAGCTGCGGGAAGTAGGCGTTCTGGTGGCCGGTCTCCTTGAACTTGCCGTCCAGGTAGGACTGGATGGCCTCCCAGATTGCGTAGCCATAGGGCCGGATGACCATAGTGCCCCTGGGGGATGGAGCGATGAGATGTGTGTTTGTTTGTGCATGTGTGTGTGTGTGTGTGTGTGTGTGTGTGTGTGTGTGTGTGTGTGTGTGTGTGTGTGTG